CAATATTTCGATCTTTATACTGAACTGTCGCTCCAGCAATATTCCGCAAAAAACTATTTGGGGGAAATTTTTTGCAGTTTTAACAAAACCAACAACCAATTAAAGTACATGAGAGGGCGAAAGTGAATGGAAAAGCAGTCGTGGGGTTAGAGAAAATTGTGTGTGGTATCACAATGGATCCACAAAATGTTAGTCGATGCTCACATATTGACAACTATTTTTACCTACCTTCTAATAGCCCAAAAGCTAACCACGGCGGTAAGAGAGAGTCTTCTACTGCCCTCTATAAACAAAATGGAACAGGATATCCTTCTCCAGAAGGGTAAATCTTGTCAAACACTGCTTTTTATAACCCAAAATCTACCAGATATCATTTTCCAGAAGGGTTAACCTAACCACGTCGGTAAGAAAGAGTCTTCTACTGCCCTCTATAAACAAAATGGAACAGGATATCCTTCACCAGTAGAGTACACATAACCACGCCGGTAAGTCTCTGACGAAAAGTGTCTTCTACCGCTTTCTTTAAACAGAACGGAATGGGCAATCCTTCTTTAGAAGGGTAAATCTAATCAACCCTTACCTTCAATATACTATAAGAAACTAGATATCGCTATATCTGATACTCTGATGTTACATGCTTCACTCGCTGTGGATGTTCCGCACTAGAACTCAGCACAAACTCAAGATACTTGCCTAACTTGCGCCCTCCGATCGGCTTGAGGTGGCAAACGAGGAACTCTACTTCCACCTCTAAGTTTCCATTAGCTAACCGCCCCATTTGGAACTCAGCATATCCAGCATGCAATGGACTCTGCGGATAATAAGCACTGAATTGACGGCACGAAAATAGCAAAACTCAAGCTCATTTCGGACAAGTGCTTTCAATTAGAACACCACACCTCAATAATTACCTACTTTCAGAAAGAGACTGCCGATAGACTCTGTCTTTGGTTTAGCGCAAAATAACTCCACATTGCATGCCACTTATAATCAGCTAAGCAATTGTGCTGACACTCAATGCGAGAAGCCGAGAAGGTGGCACATTTTTTCAGAGGTTTCTGGCGTTCTTTTGCAAATGAGTGTCACGTGACAAATTCCAGGCGAGCATTTCAATAAAGAATTTACCTTTGAAAGCGGAGAGATGAGGAGGTGACTGGAAGCTAAGGCAGCAGGAGCAGGCACAAAAGAGACTTTGAAGCAAAAAAAAAAACAAAAAAAGAAAGGAAAAAATAGAATCAAAGCAAGCGAGAGCAAGTAGTTAGTGAACAAATAAAAATAAATAAGAAAAAATAAACAAAAAAGTAGAAAAGTAAAAGAAATAAGTAAACAATTAAGTATAGGTTTGCGGGTTGTGAGTAGCGGGCAGCGAGAGAGCCCAAGAATATAACAAATTGCAGGGAAATTAAAATAAAATAAAATTTACGATAAACTGTATATGGCGCGCGAAAAAATGCCGTGAAAAGCGCCGTCAGCAGTCATTGAAAGAATAGTGAATGCCAAATGAGTTGAGCTGAGTTGAGCTGAGCTGCGTTGGAGGTAAGAGAGCTTGGAGGCAGCGTCAAGCAAAGACGGCTTGTTGGTTAGTATGGCACAAGGGGTCGCCATTGTGCATTGTATGGGTGTTGCAACAAGCGACAAAATCGTGACTTCATTTGTTGACACTTGAAACAAGGCAAACGCCAAGACAAGCAGGCGAGCATAGCACGAAGGATTTTTTTTCAGACGCGCAGGGCATGACAATCGCAAAGGAAATATTATATATATATATATATATATATATATAAGTAGGTGGGTAGGTGGATAGGCAGCCGTAACGGAAGATACTACGCGAGCGATGTTGGCTGACGGACAGGCGCAGGAAACGGATGAGGCGACAACAATGTAACGGCAGCGCGTTGTGTGGTGTGCGAAAAATGCCAGCGTCTGCAAACGAATGATTCCTAATTGAAAACTATTAAATTCCTCTATGCCGTCGTCCCACCGCCTCGTTTCTAATCACGCACGGAACACACAGACCCGCAAGCACCGTCCAGCATTGTCTGTATGTAGTTGGTGTTGCGTTAATTTCTTCACTTTTTTTGTGTTTTTTTTGTATTTTTTGGCCTTATGCACTTCTCATTTAATTCTTAACTTCCGCAATTTTTATTTCACACTTTTTATTCTTTTATAAAAAAAATAATTTTTTTTTTGTTTTCTTATTTATTTTTTGTAGAATTTTTTCTTTTTATTTCTTTTATACCAGCAATTGTTTCTTCGTTTTCACACTCAAATTGGAACTTAAATTTCATTTCGAATGACATTCGCTCCATCACGCGCGCGTCAACTGCAGCACAACCGGGAAGCATGAGAGAGTCCAACAGCCGTTTTGGTGTCCTGTGTCGCACACCAACGGGTGCGAAAAATTTAAAAAATGACATTTAGAAAAGAAAAAATAAACGGACATTTTCATTTGAGCATATTTAATTAGAAGCAATTATTTATGGTATTAAATAGATGAGGCAGTAAATGTGCTCTGCAAGTATGTATTGTATGTATGTATGCAGCTGGTAGGGGTGGCAAGTACTCATCGACGACGCAAGACAAACAAATACACATGAACATCCAGAAAAAATTTTACTTAATAGAAAAATTGTAATAAAATGCAAAAGAATTGCGCGCAACTTTCTGTGTGTATGTGTGTGTGTGTGTGTGACAAACTGACAAAGACTGTGGTCCATTGCTGACTGTTTAGCTTGGTTTGGCGTCAAAGCGGCGCGGTGTCGAAGGAAATGATGCGAAATTGAAGATGTCATTGAACAAAGCGTCTCGCTATCATTGTTCCTATCAAGGATGTGGCAAAAAATAAAAAAAAATAAAGTAAAAAAAAAAAATAAAAAAAAGGAATTGAATTTTTTTAAGCCAAACCAAAAGGGAAATCGAGGAGCAAACCTATTTACTAGTCAGTTCCTACCGAAGCAACAACAACTAAAGTTCTAAAGTAACGGATACAAGGGAGGATTCCTTTCTTGTTATTATTTTTGTTTTTTTTTTGGGAAAAAAGTGTGCAGTTAAATGACTAGAAATGTGAGAAAAATTGATATTTAAGCCGTTGAATTATTGCAAGTGATAAATTTTTATTCAAAAAGGATAAAAATGACAAAAAAAAAAACAGTTTAAAGAATGTGGCTGCTATAAGTGCATAATGTCCTAAGAGAAATAGAGACAGTACCAAAGACAGATGGAAGAGCTTCGTCAAACTTCAACTCCCAAAAATTTCTTTGTTTCTGAAGCCAAAGTTTACTTGTTGCTCTTTCCGTGCCGTAAAAGTATACCCAAAGTGGTTTTTGTACAGTGTAGCGAGTGCGACAGTCCTTGACCAGATAAAGATCCATATCGTACCGAGATAAAGGTGCGACTGTTGTGGGTATTTCGGGATTTTAGTCGCTTCTTACAACAGATAAGCTCTAGGAACCAAATCAAATCCTTTTGTTGCTTTTGTGACCGCAAAAATATTTCACAATGTAGTTTTTGGGGAATTTTGCGGGAGTGACAGTCATAAGACACAACTGTCGAGGGAACTATTGGATTTTAGCCGCCTTTTACGATAGGCATGCTGGTCAAAATCAACTCTGCTTCAATGTAATATTTTCTGCTGCGTTTGCCAAAGACGCACAGTTCTTCCACTTCCATAAGGGGCTATCTGATCCTGCTGCAGTTATCTCTATAATATACCTTACGCCTCACAGTGGACAACGATTAATATGGAACCATATTGCCAAAACTCAACTCAACTCAAATCAAGCCTCTACGGTTGTGTCTCATGCAACAATAGCCACTTTGGGTAACCACGGAGCTCTCCCCAGCATGATATACAACCATTTCTTACAATTCCACAGCCAGCTCAAACTCCCGTGTAAAGAAGGATACACAGCAGCTTTTAACTTCCCCTGTGGACGGTTCCTTTGTGTTAAACCATTGTGCGTCAGAATGTGTAATCCATGAGATGCCATTTTTGACCTGGCTGGCGCCACTGCCGTACGCACTCCGGCCAGCGCACCATCTGTTAGCGGATGTAGGTAACACCAAGACCCACGTGCCACTACCTTAACCCACTTATTACCAACGCTTTTTCGAGACAGACAAAACTCTTCGATAGAGAGTCGAGATAGTCAACTTCATGAGCCCGAAGCAGCTGCCCAAGCTAACCGGCCACTAAGTCCTGCTGGGGCGGTCCGATTTTAATGTTATGAGTAAGCATTCACCGACAACTTTCAGTGATCTCTCCGTTCCAACCGACGTTCGCATCAAGATTCTCGAACAAATGAAAGCATGGTGGAGTCGTCCCGTGCTAAAACTGGGCAAGCCATCCTACGAAGAAGAGTCATATAGGTAAATCAGATAGGAGGCATTCCCTGTAGTGACAACACTACCTGAGCACAGCATCTTTTGCATAGTGCTCAACACTTCGTTTCTTAACACCCAAATAAACCATGGCTTCCAGCAAAATCGACTCTGCGATGGAACCGAGGAGAACCATAAATTACCTGAGTTGTAGACAGCTCCAGTTAAGAAACTCAATAATTGGTTGTACCTAATTTGAGCATTTGTATAAAGCATATATATACATATGTATGTACGCCTCTTGCTGGTGCTGTGTTATAGAAGAGGTATTATTTGTGTATAAACTATTTTAACTAAATTAATGTATATATATACATGAAAATATGTATATTCATTAATAAATCACAATAAAGCCTTTCTTAAGATAAAACGCCGATACATATACATAACTAGTTGACACATATTCATAGCAGCAGCCTCCACAAATATTTCACAATATTACTTGTTCATTATACAAAACAAGAAAGAGGACCAACACTTTACCGGTTCAAAACAGCAAAGTAGTAAGATATGAAATAAATGTTTTTTCAATGTATTCCAATAGGAAATACGCTTATGGCGCGTAATATCCAATCGTAGCTAGCAACACAATAAATTGCCAGACCATGACATAAATTTACCTGATATTTGACAGCATTGCATCCCTCAAAAGCCGCTAAACGCCAATTCATTGCTAACAAGCAGCAATCTTCCGAATCCCATGCATACAGCATGTCATCCTTGGATTCCAACAAATTTTGCGTATGTTGGCGCTCAATCGGCAAACCGGCACGTATTTTTGCAAACATTGCTGTATGATTTAGTTTCAAGGTGTCCGTGCTGTTGATGGACATTTTCACTGAATATCAAAACACTTCAGCTTATACACAAAACAAAAGAAATTCACTATAATTTACAGCAAATAAACAAAAAACTTAATTGGCGGCGAATAAAATACGCGTATTTGTTGAAAAACACTAAAAATTTAAGGTTAACACAAATGTAAACGAATTGTTGAAAGCAAAACAGCTGATTGCGCTTGCAGCTGGCGTTTATCATTTTGACAGCATTTTGTTTATAACAGACAAGCTGGCACACAGATGGCGCTGTGAAGCGTTTAAAATGATTTTGGTAGGTAAAAAATTATTTCAACATAGAGAAGTGTATAAGTGGTGAATGTGTAGTTATATATATATATATATATATATATATATATAAGTCAATAAATATTTAATTAAAACTTAAAAATATGAATGACATACGAAAAGAAAATTAATTCAAATATTAAAGTAAATTTAAAAAATCAAAATATATATACTTAATTGAAAATATGTTAATTTAAACAAAAATAAATACATAAAAATATATAAAAATTAAATTAAATGAAAGAATATAAAATATAACAAATTAAAATAGATAAAAAAACTTAATAAACCAAATTAATTATAATAAATTTAAATTTTTAATATGAAAAATATAATATGTAATGAAAGTAAGTGAGAAAAAAAAGAGTAAAAAAATTAAAAACAAAGAAACAAAACATAAAGTAAAGAAATAATGTTATACAACATATGATTAAATAATTTAATAAAATTAAATTGATAAAAGGGATATTAATAATAAACAAAAAAAACTAAATTAATAATAATTAATTATAACAAAACAAAAAATATAAATAAAAAGAAATAATTTAAGAAACAATAGAATATATAAAAATAAAATAAAACCAACATACATAAACTTCTATAGAATATAGAATAAATTTATGTAGAGAAAATAATTTAAACAACGTTAAACAAAAAATAATAAAAAAATTAATTTAAATAAATAAAATTATTAATAAACTAAAAAGAAAGAAAATTAAATAAAATATAATAAAACAAAATAAAAGAAATAATATAAAGATATATAAAAAAAAATTAAATTCAAATAAATTAAAATTTTATAAAATAAATTAATTAAAACAAAATAAAATTATTTAAAGAAAATTATATAAAATAAGGTAAAACAAAAGAATATAAAATAAAATGAAATGAAATTAATTAAAATAATATAGAAAATAATGTAAAATAAAAAAAAAATAAAAATATAGGACATGAAGTTGATTAAAATAATATTAAATAAAATAATGTAATGTAAAAAGAAACAAATAAAATTAATTGAATTAAAATAATATAAAAAATAAAAGAAAATAAAGAAAAGTAAATACATATGAGAAAAAATATTAAATTAAATAACTAAAAAATATGGCACAAAATAAAATGAAAATTATTGAAAAACTTTAAAAGAAATAAAATAAAAGAAATTAAAATAAAACAAACTAAATGAAATTAAACTAAATGAAATAAAATCCAGAATAAAATGATGAAAAACAATACAGAGCAAAATTAACAAAATAAATTAAATAAAATAAAAATAAATAAATAATAAATAAAAGAAATAAATAATAATAAATTAAAACACATTAATAAAAAATACGGTAAAAAAATAAAAAAAAAAACTTGTGCAAAAAAATAAAATGGAGTTAAACTAATATATATAATTTTTATAAAAAGAAAAAATAAAATGAACAACATTTTAGAATTTAATTGGCTTAAAAAATTAAAAACTTTTAGAATGAGGTAAAGGATTTAAATTAAAAATATATTTATAACAATTTAAACCTGACTCAGAAGGTTTTCCAATCGCTCTTTACTATTCCAATTCAAAAACTTGGTTCGGAATATCACTTCAATAATGCTGTGCAATAAATTCATCGAACCATCAACTGCAATGCTCTGAGAGCAACGCCCATTACCCGCTCAGCTCTCCACAGCTGCAACTGAAACCCTTTCAAACGATTCCTTTGCAGACCTCCGGGTGCAAGCGCTCAAACACAACCGGCTATTTATTTGAGTTCTCCCAACTCAACTTTTCTTCCACTTTCCACTATCAACGCTTTCGTTGTTGTTGTTTAATTGTTATATGTATTTTACTTTATTTTATGCTTCACTATCAATTCCTTGTAAAATTCAACGCAAATGAAGTTTTGCGCCAACTTTCCAATGCCATTAGAATATTCGTTTTGTATTGTCTGGCTGTATTACTGGCCAAAGTCGATTGTCTTGTGCTTCTTCTTACTACATACTATTTGCCTTTAAAGAACTCTAAAGACATTCTGTCTGGCTGCAGTATGAGTATTTTAGAATTAAATGCTTTTTGTGTTTTGTTTACAAGTAAATACATAAATACAATACAATAAATGGCCTCCGAAATGTTGAACAAAACTTTTCACTTATTACCTCACCTCACCTCACCTCATCCACCCAGTGTGTGTGTGGTGGGTATTGCTGGGAAGGCATTGCTTGCCTTGACGTTAGTTTTGGAGTTTTGGTTACTTTCGTCTCCTTTGTCTATTTCTTTTAACAAAATTGGCTCCCAGCTGCATTTCTACTACTTCGGTGGAATGGAGTTTTGTTTTTGTTTCTTTTCTTTTTATTATTTTTGGTTCCATAATTTATTTGCACGATTTTGTAACGCGTTCAGTCGACTTCGACTAAACCGATTGTGGCTGGTTGGCGATTGTAATGTGGAATATATAAATGAATGAGGAAGATTAGCTTTGAAGTTCCGTTATAGGAGTTTCTATAATTTATATACATTTACACACACATATATATATATATATATATGATAAACTTCCGTGTGATTGATTCAATGAATTATAAAAAATGTTAAATTCAAAGTTTTAGGAACTCTGTAATCAGTAGCTCTAGCATAAGGAAATTTATACACATATAACGGTAAAAAGCCGAGTATATTCAAATTTATGGCTTTAAAACTACACACACTCGTATATATGAAAAAAACATAAGAATATATATTTTATATAATTTAATATGAGCTTACCAGGCATATGTATGTATGTATGTACGTATATGCATTTTTACATTTTATTATTTTTGCCATTATTTACAGTTCATAGAAATCCAATTAATTTTTATTAAATCCAGCATTTTAATAGGCTCTTGACGCCTTTTAAAAACACAGACACAATGCATGCGTGCAGACAAACTCATATGTATGTACGAGTATGTACATATGTATGTATACTATACATGTAGTATGCCCATAGATAAAATATCAGCAATTAACCACCAATGTAATCGTTTAAAAGCAAAGAGAGGAATTTTTTTTTATTATTGCAATCATATTTATATTTATTTTTTTTATTTTTTTGCATTTTCCATACATAAATATATAATTTTTACAGGCATACATATGTGTCCGTGTGTCTGAGCAGAATGTACACACATTCGAAATACATAAATATTTGTCTAAAAGTAAAAAAAAAAAACAATTTGTGCAACACTTGAAAACGTTGTTGGGTTGCGGCACCGTTGGTGTAGGCTCCACCATTAAATTTCCACAAAGCTTGGTTTTCAATCTCTGTATGAATGGCAATTTGCCAAACGCGCACTTGAGTCAGAAGTGTTGCTTTTTTCGCATTTTTTACACATTTTTCCCATCATTACATTTATCGATTTTATTTTTATACAATTTTTTAACATTTAAAAATTTTTTCATCGTTAGAGACGATAAATTTAAATTATTAAATTTTTTTTAAAAAAAACTGTGTGTCTATATGTTGTGTAATTTTCATGAATAGTGTGCACTCCTCCTAATGAAGTTTCGTTATCGATTTCAGTTTCACATACACACTTTGTGCAAATAGGAAAAAAAATCGATTAACATTTTTAAGAAATTATTTAATCTTTATTTTGAAACATGATTAACTTAAATATTTAAATGCATTAAAAATAAGTTCAGCAGCAGAGAAAGTTATACTAAATACGTTGACTTAAAAATATATAAAATATAGATAAAAAAATTACTTATTAAACACGATTAACATAAACAAACACATAAAAATACTATATAAAAACTGATTAAAAACTTAATAAATTTCTGGGAAAACATAACTTCTCAATCTAACTAGCAACTGTCAAATCAAGATCGAGACCAGCCACCGCCTTTTCGCCATTTTTAACAATCGCCGCCAGTTGATAATCGCCGTTCGGTACATCTTTCACCAAGAAATCGGTATCGAGTACATAGTCTTTGTAGGTATAAGTGTTCTGCAAGCGATTTGAAATTAAATAAAATTAGTCGAATGAAAATTAAATATTTTTAATAATTAAAATATAATACGAGTAAATCATTGTATATGGCAGCGCTAATTAATTAACACATACTGGCAGCTGCTCTTGTGGTAACTAACAAATTTTGACATTTGTCCTTTTATATTTTATTTTTTGCCTTACAGCTTCAAAATAATTTGCGTTTTCGTCTAAACGAAGTGGCATATTTACACACATACACATATTTTTTTTTAGCAATGTTCAACACAAAACGGCTTGAGTTAATTACAAAAAAAGGAAAACAAACCTTTGGGAAGGGACATGTAAACTCCTCCGGCAAATTCGATGATTTCACCATACCATCGTAAGTGCTCTTGAGTGATTCTACTAAATTGCAGAAAGGTTTCTCTATTTGAAATACAATGGGACCACGTCGTTTACTCTCGCGATCATACTTGTAGATTTGCAAGGAGACCTGCAGAAATTCAAACACACAAAGGTATATTAATTAACACAAACATATATAAGAAATATGAATAGCTTTATGTTATCCATAACTTTATTTACCCACCCTCTGTTCATTGCCCAAATTCTGTTTGAGCTCCACATCACCCGTCATACCCAGCTCCGAGCGTGATATCTTCTTCAAACGTAGCGTATCCCATGATATCCAAGAATCATCATATTCCGACATGGGCTGGAAGGCATTCAATTCGATATTTCGGTTGGCATTTGTCTGTTGTAATTGTAAATATATTAATACGATTGGATAAATGAATACGAGCCGCAGGCGTTTATCCATTTTGGCGGCGTTTAGTTGAAATTTAGATGCAAACAATTGAAACGAAGGCGACATGCCTTTGGGGTTTTATACTCGAACTCGATGCAGTAGTTTGTGTTGTTGAACATGCAAATATCATGTAGTTGTATAATTGGTGGAATAAACCTCATGTTGCTGATAGTTATCAATGGTATTTGTAATTTATTTTAGGATGAGCAAGATTATAATACTACAGTGTGTAGCAGAAGAGAGGAAATGAAAATGTGCAGTAGAATAGAGTTTTATTAGTTTATTTTTTTTAATATTTAAATTTGTTTTATTGTAGTATTATATTTTCGTATTATTTATTTTACTTTTCTTAATTAGTTTCACTTAATTAAATTTTATTTATGATTTGGTTTCCTATAATATATAATTTTTTATGTCTAATTCAATTTATTTTAATTTATCTAATTCAATATAATTAAATTAAATTTAATTTTATTTTATTTTAGTTTGTTTTATTTTAATTTATTTTATTTTATTTTATTTTATTTTATTTTATTTTATTTTATTTTATTTTATTTTATTTTATTTTATTTTATTTTATTTTATTTTATTTAATTTTATACTATTTTATTTCATTTTGGTTTAATTAATTTGGACTATATTTATTATATGTTTTTTATTTCCTTTATTTTATTTTAATTAACTTAATTTAATTACTTTGATTTAATTTAAGTGAAGTTAATTTAACAAATTTCATTTTATTTAATTTTATTTCATTTTGTTTTATATTATATCATTTTGTCTTCGCTTTGTTTCAAATTATTTTATTTTGATTTATTTAATTTACTTATTTTTTTTAATTTTAATAATTCTTCCTTTAAGTTTATTTAGTTAAATTTAATTGAAATTAATTTTTTTTTCAGTTTTGATTAACATATATTGTTTTATATTATTGAATTTGATATTTACTTTATTTTATTTCTATGATTTTATTTGTTTCACTTTTTTTCGCTCTTTTTTAATTTCTTATTCATTTGATCTTATTTGGACTTATTTAATTATACTTTATTTTAACTTATTTTATTGTATTTTATTTTTTCTCCTTTTTTATTATATTTTATATTATTTAATTTTTGCTTTATTTTAAATTAATTTATTTTTTTTTTTGACTCACTTTTATATTTTTTAATTTTATAATACTTTATTATTATTTCTTCTTTTATTTTTTTTTTCTTATTTTATTATATTAATTTTTCTCAGTATTTTATTTTACATTTATTGTATTATTTTTTTATTTCGTTTGTTTTATTGTATATTATTTAATCTATTTTTTATTTTAGGTTTTTTTATTTGGAATGAATTTATTCTTTTATTATATAGTTTAATCTCATTTTATTTATTTACTAATTTTATTGTTTTCTTTTGTGTTTTATTTTATTTAGTTTCTATTATTATTTAATTTTTTTCGTTTCATTTCATTTATTCATACTTCTTGATGAGTTAATTTAATTTTTTTTTTCAATTTTTTAATGCCATATTATTACAATTTTATTTACTTTATTAAATTATTTTATGTTTTATTTTTTTTTTTTGGTTTTATTATTATTTTTTAACTCATTTGATTTTATTTTTTAATATTATTATTTTATATTTCATATTATTTCTTTCTGTTTGTTTAATTTCTTTTTTTATTTATAATGAATTAAATATATTAATATTTACTTTTATTGTATTTAATTTTATATATTTACTACTTTTTTTTATTTTTTTGTGTTTTAATTTTTTCGGTTTTTACTATTAATTCAAATTGAATGTAATTTTTTTCGTTTCATTTCATTTGCGCTTAATTTTTATGCGTTAATCAATTTTTTTTTTTAATTTTTATACCCTATAATCTTTTTTATTTTATTTAACTTGATCTTATTTTATTATTTTACGTGACATTTTATTGCGTTTATAAATATATAAAATTCTAATTTAGTTTTTAGTTAATTTTTTATTCTGTTTCATTATTATATATATATTCTTTTTTTAAATTCCGAATAAATTCCCCACTTTTTATTCATTTTAAGTATAATAGAAGAAATCACTTTATACAAGTATTTCAACTATTCCTGTCTGATGCCTCTTCAGTGTTTATGCCCTTGCCATTCACAGCAGGCGTCGAAATGTGCAATTTCAAGTATAATTTAATAGCAAAATGTTTCCATATACATACATATACATATATATATACTCATACTCTAGCATACAGCTGCTATTGGAACTCATACGCACATATACATATACACACATGCATCATTTGTGTCAACAAATATTGCCAAGCATACAACAGATTATTTGCAATAAACATAATTATAATCGCTGCATATGATTTTTCAATTACACCACCAACACACAAAAACATATCAGTTGATCGCCTTTTTGACAACAAAAGTATGGAGTAAATCAAAAAATTGGGGCGTAATGTGTTCTACTTTATTATCCGCACCTCACTTCACTGTCGAATACCTTGTCATAGCATACGTGTATATGCAATGCAGTGTCATTTAAAGTGCAACACTGCGCACAAAAGGGGTGACAAACACCCACGCATACATACCACATATATTTCCACACTTAAAATTGATGACTGAGAGAGTGGGCGAGAGAGAGAGGGAATTGGTAATGCAATCGCATAATGATAATTAAGTGGTTGCGCGTTACCCAGCGATGCTTGCAGCGCCGCTCAGCGTCGGGTGGACTGAGTGGCGATTATCTGCTGCCACTGAAGTGAATATCCATATCAATGCTTTGTAACGGCGCACTTCTTTTTTTTTGGTGTGGTGAAAATTTTAATAGATACACTCTTGCATTTGTTTTGGCATTTCGTTGTCATTAAAACTGGCACATAATGCCATTGGGTAAGCACAAAGTGCGAAGTGAGGAATGAGTGAAATATTTTATTGAAAGCCGATTTTGCACACATTGCAGGCGACACTTGCAATTAGAAGAGGTGTTGAAGCGAAATGTGTGGAGTGTGTGTGGAGTGTGTGTGAGTGGTTGGGGTAACGTATGCTTTTGAATGTTGTCATTTAAGCGCGAAATATTTTAGCAAAAGGGTTGTTATTGATACTTATTTCGGAGAGATTGGAAGGAGAAATATGGCGGCAATTGAATTGATATCTTTTTTGGATTTTAAAAGAGCATGCGGTTGTATGCACGGTTTGAGTATGAGCAATTCTGGTTATGAAGAAAAAAAATTATAAGTAAATGAAAAAAAAAAAATAATTTGAAAAAATAAATTTTAATAACATAAAAGAAAATATTAAAAATAAGTAATCAAAAAAAAATATATTAAAAAAATTAAATAAATAAATCAAAATGAAATAAAAAAATATAGAAATTAAGTAAATGTAACAAAAAAAAAAAAAATTAAAAAAAAAATGAGATAAATTTAAAGGAATTAAAAAATAAAATAAATGCTACTTTCACTTTCTTCGATAAATTGAGTTAGCTTAAAGAATGTAAATAATTCTTTTTTCCGCGGAGCATAAATCTGCCATTAGTACATTTGCATGCCGAAATCTTTATTAGCGAAAACCGCGCACATAAATCTATCAAAAGTAGCAGTAATTTATTATTTTATACGCAAACTTTTTTTTCTTACTTTCATCCGCTTTTATTTGTTTGTTAATTAACCAGAAATACAATAAGAAATAAAAAAAAATTTGCTGTCTCTCTCTCTCTCTCTCTTTAGACCCTCATCGAAGCTTTTTTTCGTTACACATTTTTAATTGTTGGCTCGTATAAATAAGAATTTATGGGCCTTTTTGATTTTTCTTTTTATTTCTTGGTAGAAAAAATTGAAAAGTTTGTTAAACGGAAATTGCACTAAATGCCCTGTGTCAATTGCATTTAGTTTGGTATGCCAAGTGCAGAGTTCCGGAACGTGAATGCGAATGCGAACTCTCCCCGAACAGTGACAGCGCTAAAAGAGTGAGGATTGTCTTCAGAGTTGAGTGAGTGCGTGGAGAGAGAACGCAGATAACTAAAGAAAAAAAAAGAAAAAAAAAATATTAAAATAAAATAAGTAATAATAAAATGAGAAAAGTTTAACACAACAATTCAATTTAAATTGAAAAAAAAATCATTTAACATATATAAAATAAATGAATATAAAATACAATAAATTGACATAAAAGTAAATAAAATTAATAATCTTAAATAAAATTAATTACATAAAATCTAATAAAAAATCTATACAATATAAAATGTAATAAAATATCAAAAAAGTAAAATAAAATAAATTAAATAAAATAAAATTGCTAAAAATAAAAAAAAATAAAGCAAAATAAAGTAAAAAAATTAAAAATTATATAATTAAACTTAATTAATTTAACGTAAAATAATATAAATAGAAATAAAAAAATAAAATAAATTAAGTTAAAAATAAATAGTAAATAAAACAAAGTAAATTAAATAAACTATGTAAAATAAAAAAAAAAATAAAGTAAAATACAACAAAAATAAATAATATTGAATAAAATGAAACAAATAAAATTAAATACCCAAATTAAAATTAATTATATAACATCGGATAAAAAATCAAAAAATGAAATAAAATGTGTTGTCTATTTTTAATAAAATAAAATATATTAAAACACAATTACATAAATTAAAAAAAAAATATATTAAAATAAAATAAACAAAAATAAAGTAAAATAAAATAAAGTAGAATTAAAAAAATTAAATGCAAAAAAAAAATAAATAAACTAAAATAAATTAAAATAAATTAAAATAAAATAAAGTAAAATAAAATAAAATGGAATAAAATAAAATAAAATAAAATAAAATAAAATAAAATAAAATAAAATAAAATAAAATAAAATAAAATAAAATAAAATAAAATAAAATAGAAAAAATTAAATTGACACATAATAAATTAATTTAAAATATAATAAAATAAATTTAAATATTATAAAACCAAATAAAACAATATAAAATGAAATATAACAAAATAAAACATAATAAAATAAAAAAAAATAAATAAATTAACATGATATAAAACAAC